CCGAGCCAGAGTGACCGTGAGCAGAGCGGCCCGGAGCCCTGGGAGGGGGTGGCTGGCACCTCCTCCCAGCCCTCAGTGCCCAGCTCCTCCGCCCTGGAGGGCAGCACGAGCTCCGACTCAGACTCTGTCCCCGACACCCCGGTGCAGGACCCGGACGAGCTGCTGGCCGAGGAGGGGACGCCGGTGGTGCTGGCGGACAGCGACCAGGAGGGGCCCGCGGAGGGTGGTGCCGAGAGCCCCCAGCAGGCCGTGGTGAGCCCGGTGTGGATGAGCTACGCCCGCAGCTTGTCCTACCTGAGCAGCGACGACACGGAGAGCGAGGACGAGGAGATCTGGGAGGAGCTGCAGAGCCTGCGCCAGAAGTGAGTGGGGGACCGGGGCTAGGCCTTACCCATGGCTCCCGCGACTGGCACGTGCTGCGCTGCCGGGGGGGAGTGGGAGCAAGCTGAGCCTGCTGCAAGCGCCTCTGGCTCCAGGGAGGGGGCAGGCTTCGTCCCCTCTGCCCCAGCAGGGCAGCTCTCAAGGGGGCTCCAGGCCAGTGCTGGGGAGCTGTCACCCCAAGTCCTGCCCGGGGCGGAGTAAGGCAGCTTCCTGCCAGTCTCCTCCCTGTGGGCAGCGGGGCTAGAAACAGGCATCTGCCCCCTGCCCTGCTCTGCCTGACGGCCCTGCTGTCCCCAGGCACCTCTCGGAAGTGCAGACGCTGCAGGCTGTGCAGAAGAGGGAGATCGAGGAGCTGTACTTCCGGATGGGGAAGCAGGCCCCCCCGGGCATCGTCTCCCCGGCCGCCATGCTCTCCAGCCGCCAGAGACGCCTCTCCAAGGGCAGCTTCAACCCGTCCCGGCGCAACAGCCTCCAGCGCCTGGAGCTCTCGCAGCCCACAGGTACCCGGCCCGCTGCTCCCTGCTGGCACCTGGCCCCCGCTTGCTCCCTGCTGGCACCCCCCCCCCGCTCTCCTCGCTCTCTCTGCCCGGGGCCCCCAGGTGGCTGTAGGACCCAAGGGCATGTGCTGTGGGGAGCTCTCTGGGGGCCGCACCCTGGGCTGCATGGAGAACCCTCAGGTCTCCGCCCTGGGGGAGGTGGCATTAACCTGTGTGTTGCCTGCTGGGGGAGACGTCCCCCCACGCCAGGCTGTGCAGCGGGCACCTGGGGGGCTGCTCCGTGGGGGGAGGCAGTGGCCCCCGGCCCCTCACCCCGTCTGACTCCCAGCAGGGATCATGCGCAGGAATTCGCTGAGCGGCAGCAGTACCGGCTCGCAGGAGCAGCGGCCGAGCAGAGGGGTGTCGTTCGCCGGAGACCTCAGCCGAATGGTGAGAGCAGGGGGCTGCTGGGGGCCTCCTGGGCCGTAGGGTCCCGTCCCACCGAGCCCCAGGCTGGCACCTCTCCATGGGACACGCTCCCTCTGGCACAGAAGGGGTTGTGTTGGAGCATGTGCTCTGGTGTCACCGCACGCCCCGGGCTCCCCTCTGTGGAGGGGCACGGGGCTCTGAGCCCCCGAGAGCACGCACAGGTGGCTGCTGCCCGTAGGCCCCTCAGGGTGAGTTCCCCCTGCTGGGAGTCAGCGCCCCCTTCTCCTCTCTCTGCAGTGACCAGCCTGCCAGGACTGATTTTCATGGACTACCTCAGCCACGCGCCAGCTGCCATGGAGGGGTGGCGAGAGGCCCTGTTGTGAGCTGACCAGGCAGCGCCCTGCCCCACAGGCTCCTCCGTGTGTGGAGACAACGCTGGCACTGTGGGGCAGGGGTGGCGGCGGCTGCTGCTGCTGGGAATGGAGACGCCTCCTGCCCTTGTGTGCCCCTCCCAGCTTTGTCCCAGCGGAGCAGGGCACTGGGCCCCATGGTGTCGGCTGTGGGCGCCCGGAGCGTGGCCAGCAGAGACTCCTGGCTTTGTCCCACAGCCCCGGGGAGGATCTGCCCTGCCCGCACTGGGCCCCACGTGCCTGTGTGAAGTCTGATGGTGGCAGCACTCGGGTCCCAGCCAGCCTGGTTCACGCACCCCCAGGTTTGGGGGCTGGGAAGGAGACTGAGTGGGGTAGGACCCGTGACGGGGTAACTCCCCATCACCGAGCCATGGGGAGCCTTGCTGTAGAGCGCCCCCTCGTGGTGTCAGCTGAGACATGCTTCCTGCTGAGTCCCAGCCCTTCGCTGAACCCCTCTCCCCGTTCAGCTCCTCGCTCTTCAGGTGCGCTTCCAGAATCCTTCAGGGACAGCACCAGAGCCACCCCCACCCTCAGGGCGAGTGCCACTGTGTGGGCCACCATGGACGCAGGCCCAGGCTGCCTGGGGCATGGCTGGTCTTGCCTCTCCCTGGACGGATAGCACTTGGTCCTAGTCCCTGGACACCCTGGGCTAGGCCCCTGGGCTCATGTTTGCCGAAGGCAGGGCCTGGGTTGTAGGAAATGCATGTGCAGACACCATCCCTCCCCTTTATGGCAACTCACCTTTGTGCTTTACTCCTCATCAGGAGCCACCGCCCCACTGCAGTGAGAGGGGTGCTGCCCCCTGCACAGGGGCTGCATTCTCAGTGCCTCTTTGCCCCAGAACCATAAACGAGCAGCAGCAGGCCAAGTGCATTTACACCCTTGTGCCAAGCCATTCTCCTGGGCAACGGGCATCAGGCTTGTATGTGCAGCAGGGAGCCTCAGAGCTCGGCTTCCGCTGTGGCCCCATGGCTGCAGCGGGAAGCCCTGCCTCTCCATAGGACACAGACTGACCTTGTTGTAAAAGGCTTTTTAGAGACTGTACAGTGGTTGTGAATAAAACAGATCAAATGGCAATCGCTGTCTGCATGGTGCTTGGGGCGGGGGTGTGATTACAGCAGCTGGAGCATCTTGTAACCAAATCAGTTCTTCCTGTAGGATGGATGTGGGTGGGAGGTTTTTCTCAAACTGAGGAAAAACCCTGCTGGGTCCATGGTGGGGTGGGAGTGGGAAGGTGGCCAGTAGGTAATATACCTGCTCTCCCGGCTGCAGCAGGAGAAGCCTGTCCACCTGTAAATTCAGGACATAGTACAATGAGCTGGAAAATCTCATTTTCCTGCCCCCCCCCAACCCACTTTTACTTTTAAGCCTCTTAAGTAAATGTGGGCTGCATGGAACAGTCCCTGAGGCACAGAGCTGGCCTCCTGCCACCACCTCAATAATCATCTTGGAAGCACATTTTCCAGGGGCCTTTATTGGAACATGACAAAGGCAAAGATAACTGCAGGCACGGGAGCAGCTCCCCTGGGCTCAGGTCTGCTCTTCACAGGGGCAAAGGACCAAGTGTTTCCCCTGCAAGCTGGGCCAGGGGCATTAAGAGCTACCCTTTCCCTAGGAGCCTTTTCTGGCAGTGAGGAGTGTGGTTTGTACCCCTTTTCCCAAGGGCAGCACACCACCTTTGTATCTAATTCAGTGGGCCCTGGAGGCAGCATACAGGCACCTTCCCCCCGATTACTTCACTTACAGGGTTTTTCCTCTCCCTGGAGTATCTGAGCAGGCGCACAGGAATCATTAGCTGAAGGTCACACAGGCAGCTCACCACAAAGTTGGTTTTATTCATATCCTCAAAGTTGCATCACCTTTTAAGGAATGAGTCACTGACTTCCAGGTCTAGTGCCCACTTCTCCAAGGCCCAGTAAGGTCAATGCCTCAAGCACACTGACCTGTGGCAATGACTGCAGAACAGGGCCCATGGCTTGGGCAATCCAGTGCTTCCCCCATGGGGCCAGGTCCTAGCCCCAATGCAGATTGAACTGAGATTGTTGCTCAGCCAGAGGTTAAGCACAATTCACTCCAGGGAACTCTGCAGCCATGTGTGACCTCCACAATGCACTTAGAAAGGCATGAGCAAGTACTGTCCCTGCAGGACTTAATCTCTCCCCCTGAGGCCAGCAGGCACATTTCCATGTATCAGCCTCTCCCATGGCTCTACTCTTCCCCCCCCAACCCCCCACTTCACCAGGGGCTCTTCACAGCCTGGGGCAGATTTACTCCAGTGCTACGTCCTCCTCTGCCTGCAGGTGGTAAACAGGGTGTGGCACTCCCAGGCCAGGTACCTCCCCATGCTTCCTCTCAGCACCAGGAAACAAGGAATTCATGATGCAGCCCTATTCAGCCCAAGAATCATAGAATATCAGAGTTGGAAGGGACCTCTGGAGGTCATCTAGTCCAACCCCCTGCCCAGAGCAGGACCAATCCACAACTAAATCATCCCAGCCAGGGCTTTGTCAAGCCTGACCTTAAAAACTTCTAAGGAAGGAGATTCCACCCCCTCCCTAGGTAATGCATTCCAGTGTTTCACCACCCTCCTAGTGAAAAAGTTTTTCCTAATATCCAACCTAAATCTCCCCCACTGCAACTTGAGACCATTACTCCTTGTCCTGTCATCTGCTATCACTGAGAACAGTCTAGATCCATCCTCTTTGGAACCCCCTTTCAAGTAGTTGGAAGCAGCTATCAAATCCCCCCTCATTCTTCTCTTCTGTAGACTAAACAATCCCAGTTCCCTCAGCCTCTCCTCAGAAGTCATGTGTTCCAGCCCCCTAATCATTTTTGTTGCCCTTCGCTGAACTCTCTCCAATTTCTCCACATCCTTCTTGTAGTGTGGGGCCCAAAACTGGACACAGTACTCCAGATGAGGCCTCACCAATGTCAAATAGAGGGGGAACGATCACGTCCCTCGATCTGCTGGCACTATGCCCCTATTTATACATCCCAAAATGCCATTGGCCGCCTTGGCAACAAGGGCATGCTGCTGACACTGGCAGTGCCGTTGCAGCCAACAAACGTGGTCCTAGACACTTCCTATTTTACCACCTTTCCCCATTTGCTCTTAAATAGCTACAAAGTGCACCAGGGGCTGCTAGGCCAGGCCTCAGAGACCCCATTTAAGCTCCCACCTGTGTATTTCCACCAACAAGAAGATATTATAGGGATGGGGCACCAACTCCCATCCCAAGTGCCCCCCAGCAGGCCCCACTTGGGGAGGCCCAGGGCTAGCATTTCACAAACCCACTCTGGTGAATCATTTAGACAGGTTTATTGAGGCCTTGGCCCACCTGCTGCAGGGGGTGACTAGCAGAGGAGCACGTCAGGGAAGAAACCTGGTGCTGCTGCACCACAATCTGCAACTGCAGCCTGAAGGTTTAACTGGCAGTGGCAGGAGCCTGGTCTGCACAGGGGAGGGAACCCCTCTCCCCCACACACTGCAAGGACCCCCCCCCACCAGAGGGAGCGCCAGGCACGTCAAAGGCAGATGCAACCCAGGAGGGGTTGGGCTGCGGCAGGTCCCTGGCACATGCGTCAGTTCCAGCTGGGTCCATCCCAAGTGGGGAGCAGCCCCGGCCGGCTCAGGGTCTCAGTTCACCGGGGTCTTGGCAGCCTGGGCCCGGGCAGCCTCGACCTCCCGCTCCAGCTCGTCCAGGAATCGCTCCTGGGAGATCTTGTAGAAGGTGTAACCATCTGGGGAGGGGCCGCTCAGGAAAACATGGAGGGGGGGGGGGAATCAAAGAGACACCGCCAGAAAGCCCCCCCCCCCCCCCGGCCCTTCCCTGCTCCATGGGGCTGCTCCCCCCCTGGAGTTCCCCCCCTCCTCCAGGGGTTCCCCTCCGCCCCCCTCCCTCTCTGGGGGGGACACACGCTGCTCCCACCCTCCCCCGGGGGGGGACACACGCTGCTCCCACCCATTCCCCCTCCCCGGGGGTCCTCCCAACCCCCTCCGGAGGGGGACGACACACGCTGCCCCCACCCTCCCCCGGGGGGGGACACACGCTGCTCCCACCCATCCCCCCTCCCCGGGGGTCCTCCCAACCCCCTCTCCCCCTCCGGAGGGGGACGACACACGCTGCTCCCACCCTCCCCCGGGGGGGCACACGCTGCTCGGGGGGGCCGCGCCCCCCGCCCGGCCGGATACAGATGCCCAGCACCACCGCGCCGATGCCCAGCCCCGTCAGCAGGTTGCGGCCCCGGAGCCGCCGCTGCAGGGCCCGCTGGCGCAGCGCCCCTTCCGCGCGCTGCACGACGCGCCGCGGCTCCGGCTCCGGCTCCGTCCGCTGCGCGCCCCCGCCCGGCTCCCGCGGCGCCGCCATCTTCCCCGCCGAGCCGCGCCCCCCGCCCGCCCGCCTGACTGACTGAGCGGCGCGTCACATCCGCTGCGGGCGCGCGCGCGGCCGTCGGCGTGAGGCGCGTGCCGCCACGTTCGATGAGGGCGCGAGAGCGGCCGAGGTCCGGACCTGTGGCCAATCACCGCCAGGGGCCCAAGTGCGCCCGCCCGATTGGTTACGCGGCCCACGTGACAGCGAGCGCCACGGCGGCGTCTCTTGTGATTGGGGGCGGGGTCAGTGGCTTCAGGGGCTCCTGGCGAGTTTTTAGGCGGGAAGAAGTGACTCACGGGGGCGCCTCGAGCGACCGCCACGTGACCCGACGCAACGGGCAACGGCGTCGTGTGATTGGCTGAGAGGCGGCAGGCGAGGCAGCGAGGCGAGGCGATGAGGAGGGAGGGAAAAAATGTCCCCGAGCAGGCGAGGCTGCCGCGGCCTCCAGCTCCCACCATCGGCCTGGGCCCCCCCGACACCTCCCTTCCCACGCCCCCCAGCCCTGCCCAGGCCCAGGCCTAGGCCGCAGGTTCCCCACCTCGCCGCGGCCTTGAACCCGCCCTGGGGGTCGCGGAGGCTCTTGGGAGAGGCCCCGGCTGCCAGGCTGCGGCCTGGGGGAGCCGGCACGGAGCCGCCAGCTGGCTGCCAGGCCGGGCCCTCTCCGGCTCCAGCCTCCTCCGGGGGGACAGGCCACCCTGCCTCCGCCTTGCACCCGCGTGCCCTTGGCGTCCCTGGGGCCGCAGCTCGTTCCTTTTGCCGTCCGCGACGCCCCAAGCGGCACGAGGGGTGGACGGCGGTCACGGGTGCCCCAGAGCCCCGGGGTCGGGGCGTCACTGGCCGTTCTGCCAAGGAAGCACCAGGCTGGTTGAAATCCCGTTCTCCGGCCCGCCGCTGTGACGGCCCCCGCCGCACTGACCCAAGGGCGCACGTGGACACGTGTGGACACGTGTGGACTGTCACTAACTCCGGCACGATTCCGGTCACACGCAGGGCACACATCCAGACTGAGGAGGTGCAGTTTCTCCGTAGCAAAGTTCCTGATTATACCGCCGCCTTATTCCAGGCACTGCCTGGTGCCCTTGCTAATAATTACCGTAGTGGGCACGGCTGCAGTGCTATCAAAATAACGCTGTTATTATTTTATTGTTTGAGAACTGGCCAGAAGTGCTGAGATGAGCTCCGAGGCACAGGCAGTGTCTAGGTTTCGCACCCCGGAGCCAGTCTTTGGAGTTGTTGCTCCTGAGATCATTGAAGATACTTTAATCTGTTTAGCTACAGAAAATGAACAATATCTGAATGAGCTGTCGGATCAGGCAGGATGCTTCAAAGAGACCCAGATAGTGGGTGAGAGACGCAGATCTTTGTCAGCCTGTGTATGTTTGTGTGTCTGTGTCCACATGCCATGAATGCCTGGTTTGTGCATTTGTACACACCGTGTGCTTACAAATCCTTATCCTTCAATGAATATTTTGTAATATTCTACAGAGCACAGTACAGATCTGTGTTAAATTTACTCTGCTCTAAAGGTTTAGGGTGTGTGTCTGAGATTATGGAAATCAGTACATAGGACTGATTCTCACCTTGTTTTACACTGGAACAGGAGTTTCAGACTCATTTGGTGTGAAGGGCCAAATTACATAAGGTATTTTACAGATTATGAAACTACCTTTACAGCATCCTATAAAGAAGGAGCAGAAGGTTCAAAACTAGAGATAAAAGTAAAATACAAATTAATTATGCTGCTGAGCCTCTGCTGCCAGACTGCAGGTGCACCAAGGTGTTTTCTGTGTGCATGTGGTTCATTCTTGAACTTTAAGGCTCCCAGAATACAAGGATTACTAATGTTTTTATATGAAAACTAAGCTGGCTGTAGGCTGGTATTTGCTATATACTTATGTAGTTATACACCACAGTAGGAAAATTTCTTTATGATCAGCAATAATGTAATCTACAGGGAAATTCATGAATTTACAAAACTATTAGTAAATATACAGACATGAGGGGTTGTAGCAGCTGCTACAAGTGTGAGAACTCTTTAGAATGGGGTTTCTAAGGTAATCAACATGTCAATTAAAAACATGAATTTGAGCTAACATCTTGTGAGCAAAGTTAGAAACAAATGTTTAAAAAGCATAAAAGCAAATGTGGGATTAAATCAGAAAGTATGAAAATGAGAGAGTTCCTGGTGATATATTCTTGGCTGCACCTTTTACCCCAAATAAAAACATTTGTATGGTATTTGTTCTTGTACACTCCCATCCAAAAATGCTCTGTCCATTCAGGCAGTGACATTAAAGGGGACCTGAGTATGGTGACTGTTGTGTGGGCCAGCAGTGGTTTGGTCTTGCTATGATGGCAGTCTCTGTTGCCTGTAATGAATGGTAACAAGTCAAATGAGGTCTAGTTAATTCCTGGTTTTAGCTAGAGGATGCTGCTTTATTAGCTTAGGTGCCACAAGTACTCCTTTTCTTTTTGCTTTACTAGTAACATCCTCTGTATAAACTCCCATTAGTGGCCTCTCTACAAAGGCTGACTCAGTTATCATGTCTGATTCCTTATCTTGCTTAGTTACTTTTACTTTTTGATAAAGTGTGTCCATCTTATCCGTCAGTTCCAGTGATGACTGTTAATTGCACTTTTTTGCAGAATTTGTATTTCTTTTGTGTGAAAAATGGTTTCTGGACCAATCTGCACGATATCAAGCAGTTGAAATATTTGAAAGGTAACTTCCCAAGCAAAGACAACATGCAATTCTTATACGTGTAGTAGTTATACTGTATGTACTCTGCACTGCTCGGGCAGAAGATATGGAGTATCTTTATATCTGCAGCTTTGCCTTTCCTGTCATTTAATTACAAGTATAATTGGTATGTATATTGAGAGTAAAGTATTCTGAATGCATGTAGAAGGTATTTTTCCTTTTGTTAGCAAAACACAACTTTTCTGAGAGCTGATCTTTACATAAGAATGGTCCTGCTGGGCAACCCCAATAGTCTGTCTAGCCCAATACCCTGTCTCTGACAGTGGCCAGTGCCAGATGGTTCAGAGGGAATGAACAGAACAGGGAAATGTTGAATGATCCTTCCCTGTCGTCCAGTTCCAGCTTCTGTCACTTGGAGGTTTAGGGACACCCAGAGCATGGGGTTGTGTCCCTGACCATCTTGGCAAATGATGAACCTATCCTCTATGAACTTACAAATCCTTTTTTGAACCCAGTTATACTTTTGGCCTTCACAGTATCCCCTGGCAACAAATTCCACAGGTTGACTGTGCATTGTGTGACGAAGTACTTCCTTTTGTTTGTTTTAAACCTGCTGCCTATTAATTTAATCAGGTGACCCCAGTTCTTGTGTTATGTGAAGGGGTAAACAGCACTTCCCTATTCACTTTCTCCACAACATTCATGATTTTTATAGACCTCTGTTGTATCTGTATTCTTCTCTTTTCTAAGCTGAACAGACCTGGTCATTTTAATCTCACTTTGTATGGAAGATGTTTCATACCACTAATTATTTTTGTTGCCCTTTTCTGTTCCTTTTCCAATTCTAATATAGCTTCTTTGAGATGAGGTGACCAGAACTGCATGTAATATTCAAGGTGTGGGTGTACCATGGATTTATATAGTACCATTATATTTACTGTCTTCTTATCTATCCTTTTCCTAATGGTTCCTAACATAGTTAGCTTTTTTGTCTTGCAGGTTTATGATTAAGCATGTAGAAGAGAGCTATAACTCTACTGCAGAGTCAAGGATAAACAATGAACAAGGAGAGGGCAACATCTGGGGCACTTTGAAAGCACAGATGTGTGACACATTTGTGCTGCGGCTTGTGTCTTGCATTCAGCTTGCAAGCAAACTTTCTTTTCACTACAATGTGAGCAAATTAACCACTTTCTTACACTAGATTTTTAGCAGTACAGTATACTCTTACTTACTTAGATTTTGATCTTATCTAAACTCCGAACCAAAGGAGTTACTGTTTCAAAGGACAGCAGTGACTATGTAATCCAGGATAATTTTGGCATGGGAAATCTAGATCCTCTTGCACTGGGGCACAGTAACTGTTATGCCTCTGGAAATTGTACACTGCACCTTCACAATGAAAGAAGTTAACACAATTTTATTATTTAGAGTAACCATGACCTGTACGATTTGGTTCTTAAGTACACCACGATATCAAAACCCAGCATTGTTAATGGAGGGAGTCGCCAGATGATGCCGTTACATAGCTTTACAAGTTCATTTTTTTAGTGTGTGTGATGCCCTATTCAGTCTGAAGAAATGCTGTGTTGTTAGTATTGTGATGTATTTTCTTTTTGAGGAAAATATTGCAAGCAAGAGTTTTCTCTCTGCCTTAATCTCTCTAATTAGAGTCGGCCCTTGGGACAAATATACTTCCTGGGAAGTGGGCAATGGTGTTAGGGCTGAGATTGCAGGGGGAGGGCTTTGCCTGTCTGCCATGTGTGACCACTTCTGTTCCAGGACATGTGTATATTGTGTAAATAAAAAAAGTTAAACTGATAAAATACCTAAACTCAGCATCCCTGATTTCTGCTCCAATGGGGCACAGCCCTGCAAAACCCCAAGATGTGCTACTACCTGGCAAAGGGTAATAGTTTCAGCTTGCATTTTCCATTTTTAGCTTAGAAGGCAAGTTAAACACAAATTCTATTAGTTCTCAACTCAGAAAGAAACTATTAACAGCATACCATCGTGCAGGTTAACTTCTGAGAGCTTGAGAGAACACGTCTTACAGCAGCAGTTTTAGTTTTAAAAATAACCCATCACTGTTTTTTCCAGATAATTAACAATAACACAGTTCTGAAATTTCTGCAGTCCTTAGACTATTCATACACAAAACAGAACTTGGTGGAGTCAGAACTTGCCATTTTGAAGGCTCTACGCTTCCAGATCAATGTGCCAACTCCTTTTGCCTATGTTGAGTTGCTTCTGGAGGTGTTAGGTAAGAGTATTAATAAAAGGGAACTGTGTAGAAATTAAAAAAGACTAAATGCAGTTACCACTAGACTCTGAAACAAATAATCTCAGATTTAATCGTTTGTAAACAATCTGGTAAAATCAAGCATGAAGTGACAGAGAGAAACTCGCCAGTGTGGTTATTATTAATGGAAAGCCCAAAGCTTCAAAGTGTTCTCCCTACTCTGGGGTGTTTCCTAGGGTGAGTCCTGGGCCTCATTTTACCTGTCAAATGATAGAAATCTGCACAGAGCCTTCTACCATTGCCTTGGTCATAATGGCTAATATTTTTCATAATCTAGTTTTATGGATCATAAAATATATAGCTGACCATGTGTAATCTCCACTTTAGGACATAATGGCTGCTTACTTCCTATGAAACAGTTGCATAAGATGTGCATGCACCTATTGGATTTAACTTATCTCATGCGGAACATCATCTATGATACTCTACTAAAAATATCTATTGAGAATTCAACACCAAGTGAACTCCAGATGTAAGTACCACCTATGCCCTAGGACACATTTGAAGTAATATTGATTTTATGCTCAGAGGGGAGGGAAAAAGCATGTGAGGGTCACATATTCTTGTGCATTTACCATCTATCTGCTGCAGTTTCATAGTTTGACACATTATGACGCAGCAGATACAGATTAGAGAAAGTGCTTAGTGTACTGAGAAAATATGAGTCACAGTTATTTGCAATACAACTCAACAGACTATTCTTTGTGAACTAAGAATCTGGGACTGAGGTTTCTGGATTTAAGTTGCTAATTCTATTAAATGTCAAGAAGTATACAGTGTGTCCATACATGACTTCCTTTCCGTAGTAAGTGGTATTTGGGAATAATCAGTTCTAAGTATGACTAACTTAATTTGCCAAGTTTTGATTCCAGCTCTGACAGCGACTGTTTGTCATCCTGGGTGCACTGTATCTTTCTCCATCTGCAGAACAGTGATATTTACCTGCCTCTTAGGCTGGCATTGATCAATAAGTGTTTTCAAAAGAGCTTTGAAGACAAAGTACTACAGAAGTGCCAACTACAATAAGAGTTATTAGCATACTCCTCAAAACTAATACCAGTTTTTCTAGCCTTTTACAGTTTGTGGTCTCAGTTTTTCCACATGCTTATAAAAGTCAAAATGCTTCAGCAACATTGCTATAGAATAGGCAGACTGGGAGGATCTCTCTTATCTTTAAGAAAATGCAGCCAAACAAATAAGTTAAGTAGTGGGAGAGTGGACTTTCAGTTGAAGATATTAGTATCAGCCTGAAGTGGCTTTTAAAAGTGTTAATTTGTATCTGTGTTTTGTAGATTAAAATGCCACTAAAATTGTTTACCTCCAAATACACAATATCAATGCTACAACACTCAGCTGTTGAAATACAGAACAGTTTCAGTTTAAAGCAGCTATTACTACTGTTTTAATTATACAGAGCAAAATTTTTGTCAGTAAAGGAAGATTTCATGCTCTTGGCAGTTGGAGTCATCAGCACAAGCGCTTTCATACTAAATCCTGAATATTGGAATCAGGTACTGCTAGACAAGAAATACACAGTGCAGTTCTTAGGCTTACATGAACTAAAAACGTTTTACATCTTTTACTGTTTACACAGTACAGGGAGACAGGTGTGTTGCACTGGGAGTATAATAAAGGTGGAGTCCTTTAATATATTAATACTGCAGGGCAAGGGGAGGTTGGGAATTTAACATGAGTGTCTCGTTACTTTTCAAACCTATTCTGAGAAGCCTGCAGCTTTCTTACTCTGAGTCCTAGAACGTGCTGTATCCAAAGGCTTCCATTGACAGAAGGGGTGGGGGGAGAGAAGTAATCCCATAAGGCACCAATCTCCCCCCAAACAGCCAGCCTGTGTTTTATAATATAAAAGAGAGGACCTATTTAAAAGATGTTAGTTGCTTTAAAAAAATAAATTCTTCCCCTTTAAGGGAGAAAGCTTCCACTACCAGGATCCTCAATTGGCAATTGCAGAGGGCTAGTGTTTTTTTTATTTGTATTCCCATAGCAGCTAGATAGCACAGTATTAGAGCCCTAGGGTAGATTATAATTAAGTTTTTGCTTTCCTTTACATATACTCAAAGATTTAAGATCTAGAACTACTGCTCTGTTGCCCAAAATAAGGAGGAATTTTTTTTTTAAGGTTGTGGAACATTTAAATTGCATCACTGGCATTACCACACAAAGCATTTTAGAGTTTTCATATGCAATACTGAAGCACAGTGTTGGCACCACTAATCCAAGGAAGAACAAAGGAACTAGATCTTCAGAGAACTATGTTGTACCTCCTACAAAATAAACTTGACTTTTCTATTGCAACCTTTGCTACGTATCAGTGTCCTCAAAGCCACGTTCCACCCACTAACTTTTTGTAATAGATGCAGGTGGTTTTGACTTGTAACTCATGTAGGATGAACTTTTGTTTAGTTGCTATGTAGCAGCTGTCAAATATGGCATTTAAAAGTGGCCTTTGCAAACTATCCCCTGTACTCAATCTGAAGTAGTGACATGGGGAGTAAAATGCTGCGATTGTGAAGTGTTTTGCTTTCGGGAAAATGGTTATAGGAATGGCAGCGATAAGTCTACAAACTGTTCTACTGTGTACAAGTGCTACAAGCTGGGCAAGGCTTTCTTCACACAGTTGCTGTTGTGCAGAAGCAGTGACTGTCTTGAACAGTTTACAATATCAAGATTGTTCCTTCCGCCTCCCAGATCTAGTTACCCCCACAGCCCAAAAAGAAAGTCAGGTAGGTAGTCTGCCAGTGTTGACAGGGGAGGGAAATGCAAGTCAAATCAAGCAGCACCTGTTTTGAAAGCTTGATTTAACTCTCACTTGGATGGAAAGCTATTCAGGATCTACATCCCAGTACACAGGATGCCATGCTATAGTTACAGTCTATGGGGAATGGAAGCACTCCATTTGTCCAGAATACAAGTATTTTATTACAGTGTTATTCAGTGCAGTAACAGGCTGCAGGAAATATTCGTTACAAATAGTTAAATAGCTGGCAATGTTTTAAACAATATCAAACCCCCATAAAGTTCAATGGCACCAAGTGCTCATCAGTTCTGATTTAAAGAGAAGATAACTAAGTTTCAAGCATTAGTCACCATTTAGGGTGATCAGGCAGAGCTTCCATAGGCTTTGCCCCCAACACAGTTCTCACTGTGTCACTAATATTTCATTTTTCTTACTGCATTCTCTGTTAAATTGTAATGAGTTACATCGGATCCTACGGGTGCTGTACAGCAAGTTTCTGACTTGTCTATAAAACTCTCAGACACTTGCGAACTAGCTATTTCATAAAGAGCTGAATTATATTCTGTTCTGCTCAACAGTACAGTTTTACATATTGTTTTTCTATGCACTACTTATCAAATGAAATTTTAAAGTGTCTTGTGGATTTTTGGTATTGTAAACATGTTGTACTGGTTAATATTAAGTGACAATTTATAACATTCTCAAGAAAAAAAAGCAGATACTCTCTAGCCCTCAGAACAAGTTCTTCACACACACAGCCATGCACACACTCAGTCATTTGTTATAAAATTGGGATGAAACCCAGGCAAGACCCCATTTCAGGTTAGTTAACATGAATTTGAGTGCTTTTGTCCATTGCTCTTCAGAGTTAAACTGTGTTTTAATAGAGTAAGAGCCACCACTGCCACCTGTATCTTCGATCTTGCCTTTCTCCACATCCATTCTGTATCATATAAAAAGAGGTTTATTAACACATTTACATTTCAACATAAATCGTCACCTCTGATAAACGGCTAACACTGTGTAATCTCTTCTGTGTCACTTCATTTAAGTTAGCTTCATTCCACTGATTATGAAGCAGTTATTTCCAGTAGTTGGGTTTGACATTTGAAGTGTCCAAGTACTGTATTTTCAGACCCTTTAATCTCAGGATTATGAATCTTTCATAAGTGCTGAACATTTTGTCTAAGACATGGTCTGATCCCCTATATTAACAAAGGTAAAAATCAGCTTCTAAAAAAACTATGCAGTGGCCTTTCATTGCTGAGGAACTAGCTTTAAATCCCATTTAGGTCAAAAGGGACAGAGCCCAGGAAATGGTTCTGTGCTGCTCTCCCCTCAAGCACAGAACCATCAGATGATTTGGCTGAAAATAAGACAGGCCTGGAATAGCACAGAATGCTGTGGGTCAGGATGCAGTGGCACTGGTAGAGCTGCATGGGCTAACATGCACTATGTTACAGAAGCACTTCAGATAGTGACATTTACCTGTAAGGCAAACAAAAGCGAGTTTCGCCTTTCTCCACCTCCTCTTTGAATTGCTGCACGCAGTCCAGGAATGCCACCATCGCATGATCAAATTTATTGTCCCAAAAGAACCTTAAACCCCCAGAACAATACAAGGGCAACTCCTGAAAGAGAGAAGGTAGTTCTAGGCAGCCGAGAGACTCCAGTTTAGAAACACTCACCACAGGCGCAGGAGATGGCCCTAGGGATTCCTCTACCTTCAAGAGCCAAGCCACACTGTGTTCCACTTATCCCAGCCACCATTCACCACCTGGACAGGACTCTCGAGCCCATTGACACACCTCAACTGGCCAGAAGAATGGCTTTTAAATAAAACAGGGCACCTCCTCCGCTTCTTTGCACGCCCATCCCCTAGGGGAGCACGAAGCATAATACATAGTCCTGCCTTGAGTGCAGGGGACTGGACTAGATGACCTCGAGGTCCCTTCCAGCTCTATGATTATTAGAGGTAAGGCAGTTACAGCAGCAATTGTATTAAGCCTCAGTAACAGCCGTGTTAGTCTGTATTCGCAAAAAGAAAAGGAGTGCTCAAATAAATTGGTTAGTCTCTAAGGTGCCACAAGTACTCCTTTTCTTTTTGTATTAAGCCTGTAATAAGAGCTAATCGTGAATGGCAGGATTTAAATTTTCTGCTCACTCATATTAGCAGGAATAGAGGGAATTTAACTTTCCAGGCAGATTACTTTTGGATTTTCTTACCTTCGATTTGTCTGTGAGGGACTCTAAATATGAATGGTTTCCATAGGGAACGAGACGGTATCTGAAAGAAAAGGCAGGTAAGTCTGTGAGTGCCTTTTCCCATGGCACAATAGCCAGTACGAGGTGTATAAAGTATTGCTCTTACCTTTGAAATTTCAGGCCCATCTTGTTAGCAAGGGCATGAAGCAGTAGCACAGTCTGCCCCCAAGCTGCATTGATCTCATTCCATTCTACAGGGACGCTGGGGAGGCGGCCAAGTCTGAAGTTATTAATTGTGCCAAACTGCCCACTGTGCCTGTGTTAAGAGGAAAAGCTGTAAGAAAGCTCTTTGGGGCAGGGTTTGTCTCTATGGTACCTAGCACAACAAGGCCCTAATCCCCATTGCTGCTGTAATGCAACGTAACCCTGCAAGCCGTCAAATCTCTTTAAGGAGCTCAAAGACAATGGAGCAGCTTATATTATCTTTGTAAAGTTCAGGATTCAACATGGCAAGTGCAAAAGCTCAAGCAGAGCTGTTCAGTTATGGCTCAGCACTGGGCTCCACCTGGTCCCAGGTTTGATAGCCTATAGATAGCACCTGCCAGCTGCTCTCATGTTTGCAAATCTCCCCACACAGCCTGGGTAGAGCATGTTTCCTTTCCTGCCCTTTCAGCTGTCACCATGAGGAGATCTGATTGCCTGCTCTCAGCTAAGAAGTAGATTTCAGCCCTGGGTTGCACCTAAGTTGCCAAAAACCAGGTTGCTATCTTGGCAATGATGCTGTAATGCAGATTCATGAAAGCTGGTGCTTCAGCAGCTCTGCCCCTCTAGCTCAGAGCCTATGTTACCAGATATGGAAAGTTGCATTGAACACATTGGTTTTCTTCAGTTTATCCAACTGGATCTGGGCATAGCGCATCTGGTTATCAACACTTTTCAGTTCGTCGTCCAGCTCCAGTTGCTGCCTCTTGAATTCACTGTACTCCTTCTGATACCTTCAAACAGCAACAATGAGAAAGCTACCAACAGCACAGGACAGCAAGAGACCAACTCCTACATGCACCACTACCCCAGACAGACCCTCTCTATGGAGAGAGACCTAAGTCACTCTCATTAAGGTACCAGATCCACAGCTTTGTAATAGAGGAAGCCACTTGTACCCAGTCACAATTCTAATTGTGGGTCATTAGAAGTACAGTACATGTTTACTCACAACCCAGTCTGATACACCCACTTGTCCATATTTGTCACTACTGGCATGAAACAGACTTTGGCTAAGACTCACTGTGCTTCCTCCTGATCCAGTCTCTCTGCTTCTGTCCTGACTTTCTCAAAGTTTTCTGCTACCATCTTGCGGTTCTTCTCTACTTCCTCCAGCTCCTGGATCAATCTCTCCTCTTCCAAAGCAAGTTCTTTCAGTTCCATCTGCAGCTTCTCCTTATCATCCTCATTCATTTGTTCCAAGATCTCCAGACATCGTCTACAGGAGACAGTAGGTGGTTACAAAAGGATACTTAAGGCAATTCTCAAAGGATGAGATTTGGAGAATTGCCAAATGCTTAGTTCAGGAACTTCTTTATATCTATATTCTTTCCCTGCTTTTCAGACTAAGGCTACTGGAAGTGATGATGGAGTGCTCCAACTGTTCAATAATAAATCACTTACTTGTAGTTCTGGCATTCATTCTCTGTGATATTGAGTTGTGTGTCTAACTGGTCTAGAAGGGTATCTGTGCATTCCTCACACAGAGGATGGTCCACATCTGTTTGTCCTGACATAATGTCAAAAAGGTCACCAGTAACCTAGAGAAAGAGTTCACCCTTAGTATAGAAAATTTAGAATCAGCTCCAGGTTCTGCTCGATATTAAATGAAAAACCAAGTGTTAAATGGACAAACATGTGCCCCCTAAGAGAACAGCAAGGTGCCATTTTTCACAGCCCAAGCTTGATAAACTGAACAGATTTTAAGCTTGTTTACCTTTATTCTACACAAATATTTGAAGGCCAGAAATATGAGTTACAACTCCAACTCGCAAACTGCCCCAAAGAACTTACACTACATTCAAGAGAATATCTAGTTTGTCAGCATGAGACTTGCCTTCAGTCTTCTGCTTAGATTTTCCATGGTGCCCCCATCAGAAGCCTCTCCAATCAGAGTAAAACTGTTGGCACTTTCTGTTGACATCATTCTTGAAGAGAAAGGGATTTTGTTGTTGTGAACTGATGAAGAATGTCAAAACATCACTGAATTTCTCTCACTGGAATACTATGTCCCAAAGCTTCCTCACAGAGACCCCTCCACTATGCCTTTAATTCTGATGTCTTGTGCAGTCCTTTCCCTTTTGATTTTCATCTGTACACTGAATTTACATAAAGGTCAGTGGGAGATTTACAGTCTTAGGTGGCAGTGCACAGGTATTAGTTCTGTGCCACCCCTTAGCTGGTAAATAATGTCCCAAGAACAACACAAATGCAGGAGTAAGAGCTGCTACAAAGGGGGTGGGGTGGGAATAGCAAGGTCCTGAATGGAATGGATTAAAAAAGGTTTTGGGACCCTACTGGATCCAGCAAATACCCCAAGTGCCCAAGGAAACTGAGGATCTCAGCATAAGCCTAGGTGAGGTTCACCACGGCAAGGGAGAATCTGTACTTAATGCATGATTTCTGTGGTCAACCACCCACACCCAAAACATGCAAGTTACACTTATCCTTCCCTATATAGGAGTTCTTTGGGCTTTCATATACTACAGTGGAGTGCGTGATAAATAAAGAATGAGTAAGATTTATTCTGAAATGAAGCCAGCAGCCACAATGTCTTCCACAATGGCAGCTCTTATATAGATAGATCCATGTAGAATCATGAGAGCCCCACAATGTTTCAGAAAATTTACTGCAAACACAAGCGATACCTGGCTGGAGGAATGAATCTCCTGGATACACCATCCTGACGGTTTTCTGCGAAGGCTTCCTGAAAATTAAGGCAATACACCATCAGTCAATCAAATGCCACTCATGACATAAAAGAGTAGAATCAGCTTCCTTTTGGGTTCTCTCGCAAAAGGAGGGTTATCATCCTCACTGGACAAATTAATTGACGCTCAGGCTAACCTGTAGCCTCCAAGA